ATCTTAAGGGTTGGGCTATTGTGCACCAGGTATCTCCACATGGTAAACTACCTACCCCAAACGATGATGATTACATCTTCAACGCAAACACATATGATGGACAGTTCTATCAAGAAGATGGGCTACTAGGCACGTTTGAGATAGTCTTGCTCGAAGCAATCGAAATGGAAGTAGACAACGAAATGGTTGATGACGAGGTTGATGGAGATGTGGTGGTAAATGCCAAGGACATAGCAATGCTTGAGCAATTACTTCTAGGCAATGACGACGATGACAACATAGAACCTTCGGATAGTGTTGCCCATTTGGACAATTTTGACAGTGATGATGAGACCTATGATCCCAATCATGAAGATTATTCCTAATACATGTAATACTATGGTTTTTTAATTTGTGTTTTGTTTATATATTTTGAATCTATTTCTAATATATTTACTAATTAGTATTGTTCATTCTTTGTGATTGCAGGTGATTGGACAAAGATGGCGAGCAGACGTCCACGCCGTGACACGCCCTCGGTTTACGGGAGAGACCGCCCTCTCCTTCGAGGTGAGGGGTCTTCGTCCAGGGCAGCGTCCGCAGGAGGTGACGAGAGGAGGACCAGGGGCAGCCGCCGCAGGAGGCAGCAGTCTCCTCCCTCGACACGTGACGAGGTGCTAGAGGAGGAGCACGTGACGGCCATGGCCTCGTCCTCGTCGGAGGACGAGAGGGGTCAGCAGACAGGCGAGGGAGATGAGGCGCTTGAGGGCGAGGGAGGCGAGGCGCTCGAGGGCGAGGGAGGCAAGGCGCTCGAGGGTGAGGGAGAGGGTACCGCTACCTGGACTCTCTACGAGCGAGGTCCCGTGAGCCTCCCTCCGCTTCCGCTTCCTCACAACCGCCTAGTGATTCGGCCTATGGCAAAGAGGTAAGTAACTATGGATGTTATCACAACTACTTCATAAGATATGTTGGAAACCTTAAGAGAAACTGATAAATTTTCTTAATCACTTGTGCAGGGCCTGGTTGGTTTTGTCGGGTACTCCAAAGACGCACTTCATGAGCATCCTTGGTGTTTTGTGTAGGAAATGGTACCCGGCATTGTGCAACTGTCTCAAGAGCCGGTGCAAAGGGAGCCGGCCTCCAATCTGGGACAGTACTGCTGCTGGTCACGGATGACACTTACCGCAACAAGCGGGGAGCGAGTATTGGCGGAGTTTTGGGTAAGTCTCTCGCACAACATTGCTTAATACATCGCATTCATTGGTTAAATCTTTTATTGAAATAATGAATGGATACATCTGTTTTGTATCTGAAATATTTCAAGGTCAAGAAGGACTTGAGGCCCAGCGGATCGGGCGGCTGCTTGACTTGTAGGAAGTACGTCACCGAGATGCACCACCATGGGGCGCCCAGGCCCACATAGACTACTATAGGTCGGTACTTAGGCGGTCCCCCAAGCCTCAAGCAAGACGGATTCTGTTGACCGGGACCCGATTACCTTGAGGTAGGCGAATAACATTCATAATGATTTGTTTTGATATTAAGTAGGTTCAATTTCATCTTCTTATATGTCAAATACTCGATGACTTGTAGGTGATTCCCTGGTGGTGCCGATCGTATCCCGAGTGCTGGGCCATGATCGTGGACAAGTGGTTATCACAGGACTTTGTTGACACGCACGAGAGGCAGCGGGAACAGCGTCTGATGAGGCAAGGTCCAACTCACCATCAAGGCAACCGTAACCTCCCTGGATATAAACAAGCATACGTAAGTGATTTCTTTCATTTATTTTGACGCTCAATTCTGCTTGATTTCTCACCATCTTCCCATCTTTCTCGCAGGAGGCTGCGCACCCGGGCGAGGAGGTCTCGGCGTTCTCTGCGTGGGCTATGTCTCACATGGGCAGGGCGTCGTCCTCTGTCTCCTTCGACCCGGCTGCCCCGCCCCAGGTGTACTCCGACCCGAACGTGTACACTAAAGTCCAAGAGTACACGTCAACGGTAAGGAAGATCTATGGGGAAGATTACAATATGCGCACTGAGCCCATTGATGTAGAGGCGATCATGAGGCTCGGAGGAGGCAAGAAGCACGGGCGGCTGTGGATTGCAGACGGCGCCATCGACTCCACCACTGTTCCCTCCCTCGACGCTATCCGAGCACGGAGCACGAGCTCCAGCCAGCCCATACGTCCACGACCTTCTCCAGCGCTGCAACAGGTCTAAGCACTCTAGGTAATTCCTGCTTTATTCGTCGTACGTAGATATTTACATACCTAAATTAGATTTGCATTACTGATACATTGGGTGAAATATTGCAAAGTGAGCTGCAAGAAACAAGAAGGCAAAGTCAAGAAGCAGAAGCGGAGTGACCCGCCTGTTTGCAGGCCGGAAGGTCGCGTTCGAGGCCTGTGAAGCGGATGGCGGAGATGATGGTGATCATGCAAAGTCTTGGGCAAGCATCGGGTGTACTGTGCAGTTTTCATCTCCTCCACCTCCTACTCCTGCAGCTACTCCTGTAAGTATGAAAGTTCACTTTTCGCTTGTGCTTTGCATGTATGTCGGCCTTCGTGCCGTTGTGGATGTCGGCGTTCGTGCCATTGTGGATGTCGGTGTTCGTGCCGTCGTTTCTTGCAGGGTTTGGAAACCTCCCCGTGCAGGGGAGGTGCTGCCAAAATTTTCAATTGAGTCTAATCTTTTTGTATTCCTAGATTACTAGATGCAATCTCTAAGTTGCAAAACTGTTTTTCCGGATTACTCACACATGCAATCTCTGCTCTTTTGTGCAGCTTCCGTCCGCGGGTTCCAATCAACCCGCTAGTGCGTCACCGGGTGATCCTGCTTTTCCTTCACCATCGTCTCATAGGCTAGCTTGATGAGGACTCGTGCTAGGTGATGTGGTTGGACTTTAGCGTGATTTGTGATTTATGGTCGTGACTTGTGCTTGGATTTCATTAACTTGTCGTAACAAACATGTGAATGATGATGAACATGTGACTTGTCATTGTAATATATTGTGATTTGTGGTTCACAATTATGGTTGTGATATATTGTGAGAAAATGGGTTCTGTGTGATATATATATATATGAAATGCTTGTGTCGATGGAATGCAAAAAAACAAAAAAAAAATTATGTCTCTTTGCCGAGGGCAATGACCAAGGCCCTCGGCAAAGAAGGGTCCTTTGCCGAGGGCCCTAGCAATAGCCCTCGGCAAAGATTTTTTTTTTAAATCCTGAAAATTTATTTGCCGAGGGTAAGGGAGCAGGCCCTCGGCAAAGGTTTTTTTAAAAAAAATTCAAAAAAAAATTATTTCTTTGCTGAGGGCCGGCCCTCAGTAAACAATTTTTTTTAAAAAAAACTTTGCCGAGGGCCCTTACAATAGCCCTCGGCAAAGTTTTTTTTGGGAAAAATCCTGAAAATTTCTTTGCCGAGGGCCAGGGAGGAGGCCCTCGGCAAAAAAAATCACTTCTTTGCCGAGGGTCGGCCCTTGGCAAAGAAACCGCCAACGGCGCCAGCGCATGACGGGTTCTTTTCTTTGCCGAGGGCCGTCCTGGCCCTCGGCAAAGGCTTTGCCGAGTGCCCGATAAAGGGCCCTCGGCAAAGACCCCTTCGCCGTCTAAAAATTCCCCGAGGGGTCTTTGCCGAGGGTTTCTGGTCCTTTGCCGTGCGAGTCCAGTAGTGTATGGAATGGAATTTAAAATTATTCAGAAAATATAGTAGCAATGTAATATGGGAACTATACTTTTCATTTATAATCCTGGAGCCCTCTTCACTGAAAATAGCATGCAGATGTGGTTGTCCCTTTTGTATATATAGTGAATAATGATCGCGTGCAATTAAAATTAATAGTACTAAATAAGCAAAATTGTAGCTATTTTGTTACTACTAAAATAAAGCAATAATAGTATTTGTAATATTGTAACTACTGTAAAAAAGGTTCGTGGCAAGTAAATAATTAAGGACCCTTAGTAGGTTGTTGTAGACGGTCAGTACGTGGAGTTTTTTCTTTTAGATCAAACGGTGCAAATAAGAAGATGACGTGGCTGCACTAGCATTTAAATGACCCTAAGTAGGTTGCGTGTGTGCGTGTATATATATATATATATATATATATATATATATATATATATATATATATATATATATATATATATATATATATATATATATATATATATATATTCTGATCGAATTTGAATTTTTTTTGAGAAAAAATGTACCGTAGGGCTGATTCTACACTGAACCGCCCCTACAAACAGGTATTATAGGGGCGGCTAGTACTACAGCCGTCTCTACAAATCGATTTTATAGAGGCAGCTGGTGTTACCAGCTGCCCCTATAAATCGATTTGTATGGACGGTTGATAACACCAGTCGTCTCTACAAATCAATTTGTAAGGACGGTCTAGAACCGCCCCTACAAATGCATGATTTGTAGAGACGGTACGGTAGGGGCGGTTGGCCGAGCCGCCTCTACAAAGCCTCACCAGCCGCCCCTAGCAACCGTCTCAACAATTTTAAAAGCCCTTGGGCAAGCCAAGGGCAAGGGCCTAGCAATCTAATCTTTTAGGACCAATTTGGCATGATTTTGGCTCCGCTAGCAGCTCATGCAGAGGAGCCGAAAAAGTCGTACCAAACACTTTCGGAGGTGCGCATCCATTTTCTGGGGGATAGAAGAGGAGCTGGAGCCATTTTTAGGATTGAAAGACGAGCTGCAATCTGTGATTCTTCCTGCTCAAGTGTTCCGACTCCTCCGGAAGAGCACTTGAAGAGGAGCTATGTCAAATAAGCCCCTAATATGACGATTAAAGTGTATAATAGTACTAAGAAGAGTTAACTTGCAGCATAGGTTGAAAGCGATGAGGAATAGACGAATAGCCAAATATCACAATAGAAAGGGATGACAAGCCAATTCCTAATTACTTGGGCTAAGTGTATGGACCTTTAAATTTTCATTATAATGATCCAAATACATATACTACGTACTACCTACGTATACTCATAGGTCATAGGCCCCCTCGTGGCATGGGCCCCCGTCCGTCGCACCCGCTGCCCACCCCCCTAAGGCGGCCCTGCAGCGTCTTCATCTTGGATTCGAGGGCAACCTCCCACGTAGTCGGAGACGTGTCATTATTCTCGCCGTCGTTCAGGTCCAGAACGCCCACTACTACAGCAGGCAGCCCCGCCGCCGCTTACCAGGCGCACGACGGGAGGGTCCTCACCGTCGCCGGCGTCGGCACCGTGTCCTGCGACAACCACCGTGTCGCCTACGCGCGGTGTGTCCCGGACCTCTGTACCGGACTCAACCTGGTCTCCGTGCAGCAGCTTGCTGACTGCGGCTACCTCGTCATGTTCGGCGGCGGCCAGTGCTCTGTCATGGAGCAGAGCAGCGGTAAAATCACCGGGAAAGGGCGGTTGCACGCCGACGATAGCCTGTACCACCTCGAGTTCCTCGACATCCCACACGACAAAACCTGTGAAGATAGCACGCCAACATGATATGCTCAATAGTTAATACACACATCTTTCCCTATCAAAAAGAAAAAAAAAATACACACATCTTCCTTGTCACAATATAACAGGGGTGCAGCCTTGCTACTTTCCTTGTCACAATATATAGATGTGAAGTATTTTCTACAGTATTGTCCTATCGTACATGTATGCATTTATCCCTCTGTCTCTTGGCATCTACAGGTAGCAAACGTATTTGTGTGTAGCAAGGCTGTGTAACCACTTTAAAACATTGTTGTGTAATAATGAGCTATAGTGTGCTTGATGGACGAAATTGAACTTCGCTGATGACGCGCGGCCATGATGTTTGCATCACAGACTACACTAGAAGCAAGTGGTAACATGGAGACCGTGATATGGTTCCAAAATTTGAAGCACAAAAGGCTTCCAAACTGATCATCTAAATTAACTTTTGATTCCACTATTCTACTCTGAAATAAAACCCCACTTGAGCATATTTGGGAAATGTGATGTAAAAGAACCAATCTATAAAGCTTCTTTGTTTTTGGTAGAGATTCACTGCAGTTACATAGTAACGGGTATACTGTACCCCGTACCCGTACTGAACCGGTCACTGTATCACATACCCGTTAACCGTTTTTTGGGTTTTTGTTTTCTTTAACAGTTACGGGGTATACTGTACCCCTGTACCCGTTACTAAACTGTCCACTGTAGCACATACCCGATAACCATTTTTTCCCTTTTCTTTTTTTAAGTGGGAACCCCCTTTCCAGAGTGAGTAGCTCCCGCGCGTTCCTCCAGTTATTCTAAATGTGATGTAACAGAATTTCGAATACTGATCTGTCCTCCGACAGCTATATTTTTCGGCCTGGAGTTTTGCAAAAGAACCCCCGCACATTTGTAGATTCGAACCTGGGGTCCAAAGCGTATTCCTAGAATACGTTTTCTCTTCCAGAAAGCGTAGTTTCCGTCGTTAGCTGCCGAATATGTTTTCTCTTTCAGAAAGCGTAGATTCTCTCTATTAGAATCAAAATACGTTTTCTTCTTTTGAAAACGTAGTTTCTTCGGTTGGATCCAAAATACGCTTTCATCTATTTACAGTTTTGTCACTAGTTTTATTTAGGCCATAAAATCTTCGTTTTAACTCCGATTTGATCCGTTCAAGTTGCGTTAGATTCGTAATTGTGTAATCTACATGTTTATACTACTGTTAAGTATGTTTTCAACTTTTGAAATTCAAGGTTAGATTTAATTTATTATTTTGAAATTCGTTTAATTCATAAATTCTTCGTTTTAGCTCTGATTTTCGTGATCTTCGCATCTGTGTGTTCGTAGCGAGACATAGATTCGTTTTACAAACTTTTCATCTTGATTTTATGCTGTTGGTGTACTGTTCTAATCTATAGTCTTTGTTTGCTATGCATGATTGCTCTGGATGCTTGTATGTTGCTGTGATTATCGAGTATAGACAGTGAGCAATTCGTGGATGATCAAAAGTATTACTTTGACGAGCAGGATCAGCAGGAACATTTTGATCAAGGCAAGTATAGCATGGAATCATCCTTGTTACCTCTTCACTTTAATAATCAATCCATATTTGCAAGTGTCACCTTGATAAGGATTTCCTAGAATTGTACTTATGCCTTTACTCCTATGGGATATGCATTGGGTAGCTTTACTAGTGCTCAACTAAACAATGATCTTGTAACTTGACTAATTGTATATGCAATAAACATTAAAACATGACTTTTTAGCAACTTAGAAAAGAGGGCCGGAGTGTTTAGCTACTTTCTAAATGCTTCATATTCCTCTCCCTAAGGACTTATCTGTAAGTGATCATCCGGGACTTACAGTACAGCTGTGAGGGCCACATAGCTCTGGCTTTAGTCAAGTATAAGGACCTTTTATAGCTTGTTAGTGGTTACCTTTATGACGCAAGAGGGGCTTGCCGAGACGGGTATAGGACAGCATCTACTCTTATGTGTATAGCCATAAAGGAATTATGCCATTCGATAGGGGGTTCCTATATCTGCTTGCCAATTGGAAACCTAGCCGCCCTAACTTGTTAGACGAACCTTTGAAAGGCTTCATAGTGTACCCTGTCTACTCACCTTGGAAGTATTTTGGGAGTTATAAACCCAGGCATATGGGTATCACGACTCACAGTGAAAGTGTACAACCTCTACAGAGTGTAAAACTATTATTACAGTCGTGCTCACGGTCACGAGCGGCCTTAGAACCCTTATGGAATAGATGATCACTATTAAGTAATTGTTTTTGCTATATATTACTCATGTTTACATTAATCATGTGTTTTACTTTGGATTTAAAATAACTTGTTGCTACTCTTATGCTAAAACTATGACAACTAAAAGCTAAATGTTGTTAAACCTGTGTCAAGCCTTTTGAGCCTCATGAACCCCATGTTACACTTGTTAAGTACGACATGTACTTACGCTTATTTATTTTCATTATTTAGATAAAAATCCCGGATGGGTAACAGATTACAATGGTAATGACGACTTTCCTGAGGATTATTAGACTTGTGGTCAACCAATTGACGTCCCTGTGCTATGGAGCTCCCACGAGAGAGTTATCTTTATACTTCCGTTGTATTTATGTGAAGACTATGTCATATTATTTGTAATGTAATAAACACTTGTGATGATACTATCTATCATTTATCGGCTTATGTGTGTGTGACTGATCTCTGGACGCACATAAGATTATGCATCCCATTTTATCCTTAAAATCGGGTGTGATACAGTAGGACTCACATAGATTGGTACACATTGGACCATTTTGTACCAAGCAGAGCCTCCTGACATGTACAGTGTTAGCACAAGCTAAGAAAATTGTCGGTGTTTCGAACAAGCACCGACTAGTAAATTTATAATTATGTGCGTTAGGCCCGGATGGTGCGCTAAAGGACACAAGGTTTATACTGGTTCGGGCTGAATGTCCCTATGTCCAGTCTGTTGCTGTTCGTGTTATTAGCACTGAAAGCGGTTCGTAGTAGGGGGTACAAACGATCGAGAGAGGGACTGATCCTAGGTCTCTGATGGAAGGGTCGAAAGGAGGCCAAGAGCCTGGTGGCGGCTTGGCTGTGTATATGAGTCGAACTGAACTCTCTATGAGTTCGTCTGTATGTGAGTTGTCCGTTGAAAGTCGGTCTCTTCGGTCCCCTTTCAGTGGGGAGCCCTGCCCTCCCCTTTATAGACGAAGGGGGGGCAGGGGTTACAGATGGGTGAAAAGAGGAAAATACCACTACAACAAATCTAGCCTTTTGTAACGTTTTTCTTGTGACAAAAGAAGAATTCGTCGTTGATTTACGATGTTTTCTCTAGAAATTGTCGCAACATGTTGTGACCTACATTTTTGCGACGATAAAAGAATTGTCAAAGAAAATGTCGCAAAAAAAAGTCACAAACCAAGAGAACGACATTAAATATTGTCGTAAGCTGGTACATAGAATTGTTTTGACGAATTAGATTTGTCGTAGAGTTTGTTTGTTGTCGACGATGAACTTTCTATTGCCATTGAGATTTATGTTTTCACATATGACAATTTTCTATCGTCATAAATTCATTGTGCAAAATTTAGTTAATACATATTTGAATTCACTTATAAAAACACCAATCACAATTTGTTTTGGGCCAAGTAAACCTACCTCTGGTTGTTACTTAAAAAATAGAGAAAGGGGTAAAAAAGAAGTCACCAAAATAGAGAAAAAGGGGAAAACAGTGTGAATCAAACCGGAGCAAAAAAACGTCAACAATCCAACGCGCCACACTTTTTGGCCCTGCGCGCCACTCTTTCCATGAGTGCGCGTACTTCAGCAATTTTTTTTGGCTTACCCGCTTGTTCAGAGGGTAGTAGAGTAAAATGTTTCACACATTGCACATGTCACCCTAACCGTGTCCTCCTCATTCCAAATACCGCCCCCATCTTTCTACCGCTTGGCGTCCTCCTCATTCCCTTCCGTCGCCTCTGCTTCCTGCGCTAAGACCCTTCCCGCCGCAAGACCAAGCATGGCTCCAAGAAGAGGAAGGAAGCCCCTGGGACTCGAAACTTCATAGGTAATTTCTCTACCATACCCATCTCACCATGGATCTGGATTTGAGGCTAGGGGAGGTGTATAGGCGGGCCCCTGCTGTCTGCGCAGACTGCAGCAGCTGTGCCGCTGGCTGCCCTGACCCAAGGGAGTCAGGAGGTGCTTGACTTGCCCCCGCCACTTCTTGGCGGTGTGGCCTACCGGATAGCCCCTGCCGCCTTGTCTGCAAGAGAAGTGAGCAGGAGCAACCAATTCCAGCCTAGGAGGAGGAGCAAGCACCAGCAGGGTGGCCCATGGGGAGAGGGGCTGCTAGCCCACCATGTGGTGACGTGGAGCTAATGGGGAGGAGTGGGATTTCAGTTTTTCAGTGGGGATGAGGTGCGTGGAGTTGGCGATAGATGATTCTAGCTCCTATTCATGTTCTGTTTCGTCTAGTGCCTCAATGGTTGCTGTGCTCATGGAGAGGAGAGTAGAGAAGGAAGAATATATAGATTGTAGTTGATGCCTGCTGCTTGCTTTTTTAGTGCTTATAGTTGGTAGCATTTTGGTCAATTGCTTCCATCGATTCAGATGGTTAGAGAATGGAACATTGATTTTGGTCAGATGGCAAAAGAATGGAAACTGATCAAACAATTGAATGTCAACTTATTTTTTTCCTACTAGTGAATTGGGTCTGAACTTTTTTCTAATGTCAATGACCTTACAAAACTTACTAAAAAGTCTCATGCTTGCAGAATGGTTGGGATGCATGTCACTTTTATGTGTGTTCATACTTGCAAATCAGAAGTTTTGTCTCTATGTTTTAGCATTATCGACTTGCAGATCATTTAAGCTTCTGTAAATGGTTTTTGAGGTGCTAGAAGACTTCTCTGAATGTTCTGTTAAATTCCTAGTTCTATTCTTTGTCCGGGAATGTTTGAACTCCTTCATTTTTGCAGAATGTTGTATCCTGTTGATAGGGTCAACTAAACTAAATGTTGCTCTTTGATCGATTGTGAATTTGTACAAACGTGCTGATGGGTTATTTTTGAGCCTTTGAAAATTGTTTATGTGGTTGAATTTGTATAGACGTGCTGATATGTAATAGCCTTTAAATAGATGAATGATTAGGTAGCTAGGTTAACTAAATTCTCCTTTGGGTTTATATTTGCTGGATGTTTAATCTTGCAAAACTTCTCGTGTAAGAACATCTTTTTGTGCATGCAGCAAGTCATCCTTGCTATACAACTTGCAGTGTGTAATATGAAAAGTTAATTAAACATGCAGCATTTATGTAGGCTCTTGGGTTTTACAGAGGCATATAATCTCATTAAATTCCAACCTTCTAACTATTCACAAATGATTTTTACAGAGGCGCCTATTACTGAATATGAGCATTCAAGGAATGAAGAAATAATGAAAAACAACCAAGAGCTGGAGAGGCTTGGTATCAAGACATTAGTGCCCATAGTGAAGAATACATCTGTGGAGAGAAAGGGTAAAGACCATGAAGTTTCTGGATCATTGTATATAGGTCAGGAGAGTGGTCAGGAGAGTGAGGACTGTGAAGATGAGGAGGTTATTAGCAAGGTACCAAGTCTTCTAAGCATATGTTTGTTTGTCCTTTATTGTTTCTTATTATGTGTCAGTATGCTATTTAGCAAATTTGGTGCCAATTCTGCTTGTTTTTTTGCCTAATGAGGCTTTGCAGGTTGCTAATGCTGCACATACAAAGAATCCAACAAGGTGCAGGAACACCTCATTAGAGGAACAAAAGCATCTAAGAGAGTGGTGGCACCTCAGAACAAGATGTGCCTATGAGTCACTAGGCAGAAAACAAGGGATCTAGCCTTGGTTTCAAGTCCGGACCCACAACAAGTGATCAACTTAGGCTGCCAAATGCCACACCCACACATGATGTGTTGGTTTACGGTAGTGATCCTCCCTGCAACAAGACTTGGTTGACATTACTTTTCGTTATTTGCACATTGCAATGCTAAATATGTATATGCCATTGTCATAAATTTCTTTGCCTTCTAAATTCAATCGTACTTCTAAATATGTATATGCCATTGTCATAAATTTATTGTCATAAATTTGCACATTATATTGTTGTTAGGTGCACTTGCTGCAAGAAAAGATCCAGATAGGATAAGAGGAAGAAGCGCAGGTAGAGAACTAGATAGGCTAAGTAGAGGATTATGCATGAAGTTGCCAATCCATGTTTATGAAGGGAACAGACGGCCAGAGGCACCTATCCAAGCTGCCAAGCTTGCATCAGAGGGTGGGATCACACTTAGGCAGCACATACCAATCCTTACACACTGGAAGGAGTACAAGAAAAATGAGTCACATCTTGAAAACTACATTGGAAAAATTGGTGTAAGTTAAATTCAATTTTGCTGATTTCATGAAAGTTCAATCTATCCTTTGCATTCGCAGATTCTAATTTTCATGCTCTTTACTAGGCCCAATTCACCATTGACACCAAGAGTGAAGCAGTCCAATATGCATGTGCTGATTTGCTTAAGTGTGGACAACGTCAGATGAGGCACAAGCTGAAAAAAAAGTACTTTGATGGGGTACTTGCAAGTCAAGTGAGGACTACATCGCCTGTGAATCATATGATTGACAATGAATGGCAGGCCTTAGTGCAAATGTGGTCAGACCCGAAGCACAAGGTGTGACAAACCTCCAAATTTCCTGAACCTGATCTTAGATACAGTAAAATAGAAATTAAGATGGCAAGCTGACACTTGTAAATTTCCTGAACCTGATCTTAGATACTGTTTTTTGTAAATCTTCTTGTCCTGAACCCGAAGCTCTGTGGTCTTAGGTTCTAGCGATTTTCTCCTGGAACCTCTAAGAAGCAAGACATATCTATTAGTTGACATGCTTTGAGCTTATGTTTATTATTTTACTGTAACTTCACTTCTGTATTTGTCCTATGTGTAGAAACACTTAAACAAATGTTTCATGTACAGGAAAGGTGCTTAAAACCAACAAAATCGAGAGAAGGTACAATTACTACATTGTACAGGATCTCGGTGTTACATTGCACAAGCCCATGTCGTGGTAAGAAACTAAACAATCAATGATCAGTAATGGATATATATTGATTTTTGTATCAGCCTAATTGTTTGTATTTCTTTGCAAATAATTTAGAGACAAGAGAAATATAAAGATGTACAACCTACTGCTATTGATCTTTTCAAGGACTTCCACTGCAGCAAGAACAAAGGATTCAGTGAGCCTATCAAGAAAGCTATTGTGAGTGACAGATTCCCTTTTCTTCTCTATTCCCATAGTTTTGCGTACATGTTGCAGATTGTTTCCTTCTTTGCTACATGACGTACATCTGAAAAAATGAACTGCACACAAAATTTAAGTCTCTATTGTAATTTTTTTGCTAGGCTGATATGGAAGCGATCATGGCTGAACCAGTACACGATGAAGAGCAACCAAAGTCAGTGAACCATGTTGTTTCTCAAGTTGTGAAATCAACTACATTTCTTCAAGTAGCAGGAATTCAACCAAACTCCAACAATAGCTCTAAAGGTTGCACTTCCTCAAAGGTACAAGTGCATCAAGTCCCTACCATGCATGCTCTGAAGTTATTTTCTTTATAGAAAATATCTACCTTATTTAACACTTAAAAAATGTGAGGTACCAAAATAATAAAATTGAATATATAGCCCCTTATTTTGGTATCAACAGAATGAACATTTTAAAGGGGATCAATGAGTCGATGAACTGCACTAGAAAAAATATCATCATTCAGCACTGTTTACTGAGTCCTTGCTTGAAATATTATTATGAAGTATCCCTGGTAGCGACACCTCATTCATCAGCACACAAATTCAATTGTTCTAGAATACAGTAATACACCATTAGTGAATATTAGAAGCCAGTTAATTTGTTAAAAACAGAGTTTCATTCTACTTCCTTGATTGATCCTGGAATATAGGTTGCCACCTAATGCACTGGTTGATTAATCAGTGCAAGATAGGAATGGATTAACAGACAGGTTAGCAACTTACTTAAAAGTTACACGCAGCCTTTAAGGACTACAGTGTAGGAGAATGATTAATGTACATCAAGTAATAACTAATCAGAACTAACAAATAGCGGCTAAATTGGGCCAATGGCCAACGAATAGCATCATACTGATGCTAGCATTCTCGATCTTCGACTTAGTTGTTCAGTTTAAATCAACTTGTACCTAGCTGTCCTGCACATGAAAACAATAAACTCAATTTGAACCTACTTGTACTTAGCTGTTCAGTTTGCACATAATAATGTTCAGTAAACAAATATTTTGCCTTGCTGCCTTGAGTGGTTATTGCTTCTAAGAGAATAATAGATGATTTATTTCTTAGTAAAGCCACCGACATATTTATGGTGTTTATGCACAGGTGCAACAGCTTCGGGCTGATCTTGAAATTGAAAAAAAATAAAAGAAGACCTTAGGCATGAGTTCGAAGCCATGAAGAAAGAATCAGAAATGGCAATTGAGACTTTAAAGAAAGAGTCAGAAATGGCAAGGGCAAAACAGGCTGAGGAGATCGAAAAAATAAAAAAGGCATCACAAGAAACCATGTCTTACCTTCGTCAAATGCTTAGTCCTAGGGATGATTGAACTTGGTTTGGTTGCTGGTTGTTTGCCCCTAGTATTAGTAGCTCTAACTTTTGAACCATGCTGCTGGTTTCATTGTTTTACGACCTCTGAGAAGTATTGTGCGGCCTTTAAACTTTGGAACTTGTGGCTGCTATAATTTTGGTCAGTGCATCATATGGTCTGTGAGATGTATTGTGGCCTGTGAACAAAACTAGTATTGTGGTTTGTTGTTGTTGTCAGTGGATATGATCATTGAAACATGTATTGTATGACCTGCAACTGTAACTTTGGTTGGTGACTTTGAACTTTAATTAATTAACTGTTCAATGATATGATCAATTTGTGACCTACATTGTATTATGTATTTGCTTATATTGATATGTGTATTATGTATTTGCTTATATTGATCTTGCCATGTGGCATCATGGCACTAAATAGTTAGCGACAATTCTTCCTAAAACAATGACAATAGCCATTGTCACAAATTTAGTGACGAAGCAGTATTGTCGAAAGTTTAGCGACAAAAAAAACTTGTGTTCGTCACCAAAGGTGTTTAAACACGTTAGATAGGCAACAAATGGGAATTCGTCGCGCTCACGTCACCAAATCTATAACTTGACATAAATTTAGTGTTCAACGACAATAGCTAATTGTCGCAGAAGGTCATGTGTGTTGTAGTGTACCAAGGGTATAGAAGGTCCTTCGACGGGCCCGGGTCTTCCTTTTCCTCTAAGCCAGCTTTGTAGACACGGCCAACTAGTGTCAGAGGTTGGCACGTTCGCCGGGCGCCTGTGTGCTGATGATGTTGCGCCTTTACCTGATCTGCAAGTGGTCACGTCCCGTCCCGCCCTCGCGGGCGGCGTGTCGGGCTGAGATGTTTCCCCACGGCCCTGTGGGGAGCAGATGGTGCGATGACCGCTCGTTCGTTACTGTAGAGGACGGGAGTCCCTCCTTGGACTGTATTGGTTGTCCTATGTTGATGTCTGGTTCCTCACCCGGGGGCTGAAGGCGGCGCCTACAACACTGTAGGCCGGAAAGTACGCGCCCACAACACTATTCAGCTCCTGCCATACCTGGAAGGGTCTAAAGCGTCCGTCCCGTCGTGCTCTGCCAGTACTTTCCTGCAGCGGCGCAGGGCATGGTCCTCGATGCCGCGGTTTGACCCGAACGTCTTGTCTTACCCTGTGCCTATCATCACAAGGGAGCGGGGTGCGGTTGTCAGGTGAGGTGGAGGCAGCCTTTGGACATCAGGCGAGGCGAGGTCCGTCAGGCGAGGCGAGGTCCGTTAGGCGAGGCGGAACCTAGCCTTCGGGGGTCGGGCGAGGCGGAGCCTAGCCCTCAGGGGTCGGGCGAGGCGGAGTCTAGCCCTCAGCCCTCGGGCGAGGCGGAGCCGTCCCCCAGCCCTCGGGGGAGGCGGAGCTGGCCGACGGGCCTCGGGCGAGGCGGACCCAAAACTCCCGTCGTTCGGGCAAGAAGCGCAGCGGTGCTCTTGTCCGTTCGGGATTTTTTAACGTTCGATGGTTATTAGTTCCATCTCCTTGGGTACCCGTTATTAGGTTACCGACAAAAATATACACTAAAGTTGCCCTAACCTACTTCATGGTTTCTATTTAGCCAATTAATGTAAGATATGATAGCTGTGTGACAGCGTGCTTTGCTTGTATTTGTTTAATTTCTACCCTGTACCTGTAGTCAGCTATAGCTCTTTAGCTTGTCCTTATTTGTTATTAAATGCTTTGTTCATTCAACCTATATATACTCTTTGTCACATACTAACATGCTGGATCATTTCTTTTTTGGAAAGGGATCATTTCTGCAGAAAATTTCATTTGTCCCCTAAAGTTGATAACCAGCTGGAAGCCAAGCACAAACCCATACAAATGATGTCCCCTTATTATAAGAACTTTTGTGATACATTTGACGGTCTCAACAAATCTGTGGTACCCAAGAGTAGTATCGCTGGCATGATTATGACGTCAGCTTTCTTTCTGGCAAGGCCAGAGTCGGAGTCACCTGATCCAGGAACATTCCATAAATACAATTTCGGTGAATGGATTCGTACAAGCACAAAGCCATCATGCTCAGTACTAAAACCGTTTAATAGATCGGCCAAGAAGAAAACAAGTGGCACTATTACTGCCAACCCACGGCCTGGAGAGAAAGGTTTCGTCCTACATTCTGCATATGCTAAAGGCAATCGTGTGAGAAAGAACATCTCCGTGATAAGCAGAGCAGGCAATGGAGGCTCTAGCTCAGGGGGGACCGGTTCTACACTCAGTGCAGGCAATAACCATCACAGGTACTAGTTCACTATCTCGTTAAATTAATGTCTGCTGAAGTAATTATCGCTCCCATACACAGCTGCTATATATTGCCCTCCATTTTTTTTCTAAGCTTGTTTCTTGCTTGTGATTATGTAAACTGAAGTTTTCTTCTCCGTTCCTATATGTGAGCATAAAGTAAACGTAAGAAAATTTGGCAGTTTGGAAGATTAAATTCCAAATATAAACATGATAAAAAAAGGCTAAACTGGCGTGCATCTCTCTAAATCGTTCAGAAAAACCATGAGTAATAGGGATTGTGTGGTATCACGTCGTGATCACTTCCAAAACCAATCAATGTAATTCGCAAAAAAAAAAAAAAGGTTTCGAGTGGGCATGTGTTTGGTGTTGTTCTTCTCTCCTCACACTGACTTGGTGGAATGAAATGGAGTTGTGTTTAAGCTGGTCCTCTTTAGGCCTACTTCCACTAGCATCGTTGGATTAAAAAAATTAACTGAGTTCCTGCCATAGATAGGACTTCAAGTTTTAGGCATTGTTTGGGAGGGCTCCTCTGGTACTCTCCCTAAGGACTCCTCAATTTTTTTCATTGAAAAATGGCTCCAATCAGCTTCTTTTACTAAACCATTTGGTAGGGCTCCTCCGGAGGAGCTGAAACTGGAGCTAGAGAGGAGCACTACTATTTACACGTATTGAATTATGGGGCCTTTAGTGCTCCAGATTTTGTGTGACTGTGTCGCCTTGTTTTTGGAAATTTGTACTGGGCGTGTAATTACTTGGCCTTAGGTTGCGCCCATTTGTTGTTCCATGCTTGATTCCTTCCGTCTATTTTGTTCACACACACTAAGTGGATATATCTCACCTGGGCAGAGAAACCGATTCAGCCTACAATGACATGCCACTGGTCATCCTTGATAACATGGCCGAAGCGAATTGCACAGGAAACTTCAACGTGCTTTCCAATCTCACCGTGTTTAGTTCCAAAAAGATTTTCCAAAAAATGCTATAGTATCTATCACATCGAATCTTGCGATACGTGCATGGAGCATTAAATATAGACGGACAAAAAAAACTAATTACACAGTTTGGTGGGAAATTGTGAGACGAACGTTTTGAGCCTAATTAGTCCATGATTGAACACTTATTGCTAAATAAAAACGAAAGTGCTACAGTAGCCAACTTTCCAAACTTTAGCCAACTAAACACGGGCTCAACATAGGGCCCGAGAATGTTGTCCTTGTTGCCGCCAATAACGGGGAAATTGAAACCTTCATGTCTGGTTCTGTGCATCAGGCGAACTTCGACAACGATGATTATAGGTACGAATTCAACCGGGGGAAGTTCATTGTCACGGACCTCAAGACTGGCAGGATCGTAGGGGAGGGACGCCTCGTCGACGGGAAGTACATCGTGGACTACCTGAAGATCCCACACGACAGGACTCGTGTGCCAGAGCAGCCAGGGCTTGTGACCAGGATGTGGAATGCTGTCTGTTCAGCTTTGCATCGCCTGGGAATGAACCCACGGGGGCCGCCCATGTAGATGTTTTGTAAACAAGCAGAAACAGCCGTTGATGTACACTGCAGCCCCAAAGTGTTGTTGTATAGATGGATATAATAGTTGTTGCAGGTTGATTTCCAGCAACTTGGTTGTGACGCACAATTTTTCTGAGATGGGAATTGCATTGGCTGCATCGTTTCTTTGAGGCCATCTGTTGCGGAACAGAGTCATTTGTACTCTGTACCTCTTTTGCACAAATATATAAGAGAATCCTGAGGTCATATATATGTTATGATCGTGGTGTACCTTTTCTGTGTAACCGTAGATCCGGGTAAGGCTCCTCGCCT